ACGGTACATACAGAGAGGTTGTCAGTGATTTTTTTTTTTTTCCCCTTGCCGGTGGCATTATAATTAAGATATTTTTATCCCTGCCTCCACATACACTCACATATGCTGGCTGGCTTTACATCTCCAACCTGGACTGCTTTTTTGGAAGCTAAGCAAGATCGGGTCTGGTTTAGTCTCAGACGGGTTTCAAAACCCGTCGCTACCAGTTCGCTCGTGGGCATGCGCAGAAGCGTCCGGATGTGTGAGCGGAGCCTCCCGCCAGCGCCGCTACGACCAGTAGTAACTCACCACTGGTCTCAGATGGGAGAATTAAAAAAAAATATATGGTTGTTCATTAGACCAATTTCTTAACTCTAGCAACTACAGGTGAAAGCCAGTTTGGGCCTAGCGCACAGGTGGGCAACTCTGGCCCCTTTACAACCTGTGGACTTCAATTCCCAGAATTCCTGAGCCAGCAACGCTGTCTCAGGGATAGTCTGGGAGTTGAAGTCCACAAGTCATAGCTGCCACACACCCCTCTCCCACCCCCAGTTTAAGGCACAGGGCTAGAAATCAAGAGACCATCAATTCTAGTCCCGCCTTAGTCATGAAAGCTGGTTGATTGGACCAGTTACACTTTCAGTCGACCCACCTCACAGGGTTGTTGTGGGAAAAATAGGAGGAGGAAGGCGCGTCGGATGCGTTGTAAAAATAAGAAGTGGGATATAAAGAAAGAAAGAAAAGAAAGAAAGAAAGAGAAAGAAAGAAAAGAAAAGAAAAAGAAAGAAAAGAAAGAAAAGAAAAAAGAAAAAAAGAAAAAAAAAGGAAAAAAAAAAAAAGAAAAAAGAAAAGAAGAAAGAAGAAAAGGAAAAAGAAGAAAAGAAAAGAAAAGAAAAAAGAAAAGTAAAGTAAAGTAAAAAGGCTTGATTTAAATCAACTCAATTTAAATCATAACTTTTAAAGAGCAACTGTCATCTCTGCTACTCCTTTGACCCACTGTTGACTCACCGATAGTCCCAGTGTTGCAGAATATACAGCCTCATGCTACATAACTAAGCTCCGTTTCATGCTGAATAAACTAAAGTATTCATGTATCTTAAATAGAAAACTATCTTTTGATAGATTTTTACCCCAAAAGTTTTTTTATTAAAATAAATTCGATAAAAATAAAAAAAAATCCGATTTAAATCAAAAAAATCTGGGTTTTTTTTTATTTTTTAAAAAAAATCATTGATTTTTATCCACCCTGGAGGGTGGGGGGGGGACAATGTTGTTCCTCCAAAAATGTGGAATCAGCATGGAAAGGAAACCCTGGTTGTGCAAAGCAGAAGAGAAATGTTCCGACCATTTCTATTCTTCCCAGAAATGATGGAATTTGTGGCAGGGATTATACTAAAAGCTGCAGCTTTCTGCATTTTCATAGGCCAATGGCTCCTGGCCAGATCCTGCTTTGCACAGCGCATTAAGCCTCTTTTTAATCTCTCCTTGGTTTCAGGGGGGGGGGGTGTAGTAGGAATTCCCCCTGTTTGATGTGTCCTTTGGTGGCCACATGTTTGCTACATCAGCCAGCTGCTCTCACCACTCATGAGCACCAGAAACTTACAAAGCAAAAAAGCAAGAGAATTCCGCTCCAAATCCGTATACACCACAGCTCTCTTCTGCATATTATTTGGGGGGTTGCAGTGGCATATTATCCTCCAGGAGGTGAGCAGTCGGGACCCCTTAGATCAGGGGTCAGCAACCTGCGGCTCTGGAGCCGCATGTGGCTCTTTCACCCCTCTGCTGTGGCTCCCTGTCACTCAAAATGTACGTCACAACTGCCAATGCGCGACACCTGCCGGCACGCGATTTATTGAGCTTTTCAACTCCCGGTAGGCCAACCATGGATAAATCCAAGAAAAGAAAAGTTTCAGAAGAAAACAGAACATTTACTTCAACTACATATGCTTGTTTGTGGCCGTTCTGGAAATAGTCAGGCACGGGAAGGGTTTTGTGGCTCCCGGTGTTTTCTTTTCTGTGGGAAACGGGTCCAAATGGCTCTTTTGAGTGTTTAAGATTGCAGACCCCTGCCTTAGATCAAGAATCCAAGGAATCAAGTTGATCCAGGTGTCTTGTCTTTAGACGGCAGGCCTCTGTGCCTCTCTCTCCCTCCGAGAAGGTGCCAGACGTATGAATTTCCAAGCTCTCTCTCTGCAAAAAGTAATTAAAGTGCTTATTGCAACCCACTCATTAACCGCTGTTTCCTCACTAATTAGGTTAATTGTGATCTGCAGCACCCACTCTGCCCCGTTTTTCTCTTCTTTTCCTCCATTTGCTGTCCTGCCACTTGCGTTTCTTTGGATAAAATCTTCTCGGAGAAATGTTAAAAGAGTAGAAATTCATTTAAACTGGCCACATCTGGAATTGGGCAAGCAAGCAGGGTGGTAGGTTCTTCTCAGAAGCAGAAATGTCTCCAGCTCTGGCTTAAACCAGGAGGAAGAGAGAGATCTCCTGTTCTGTGATTCTCAGGAAAGACCCCTCTGGATTTTATACGTGCCCTCTGCACATGCTCAGAGGCATTCTGGGTGCCAGGGGAAAAAAATCATCCTAGTTCAGAGTTTTGGCTGTTCATTGTTTTTAATAACAGAGTAACAAGGGAAGGGGCCATGGGAGGTCATCTAGTCCAACCATCTGCTCAGGCAGGAAACCTTCTACCAGGGGTCTGCAACCTTAAAGGTCACCCTGGGACACTGCAACCGTCATAAATACGAGCCAGTTGCCAAGCGTCTGAACTTCAATCACACGACCATGGGGATGCTGCAACGGTCGTTAAGTGTGAAAAATGGTCAGACATCACTGTTTTCAATGCTGTGGTAACTTCAATAAACTGTTGTAAATTGAGGATTGCCTGTACTTTTTTTGAGGGGTGGGTGGGTGGATTGTCCCTCATAACTTCAAATGGTCACCAACAGTAAGCTGAAGATTACCTATAACAGTGATGGCTAACCTTTTTGCCGTCACGTGCCAAAAGCGGTGGGAGGGCGGTGGGGTCGTGCATACGTGTGCCACACCCATAATGCAATGCTCCCTACACGCCATGCCCCCTGCGCATGCGTGTGTGACCCCCCCATGCTCCCCATGAATGCGTGTGTGACCCCCCCATGCTCCCCATGAATGCATGCATGACCCCCCCGTGCTCCCCATGAATGCGTGTGTGACCCCCCCATGCTCCCCACGAATGCGTGCGTGACCCCCCCGTGCTCCCCCATCCCCTGAACATGAGCGTGACCCCCCCCCCACGCTCCCCCACCCTCTCTGCGCATGGTATGTACGCCCCCCCCTTCCCCCCACACGGCCCGTTTTGAGCCTGGCAGGCCTCCCTGAAGCCTCCTGGGACCAAAAACAGGCCGTGGGGATCTGTGCCACACACACCCCGCAGCCCATTTTGGTGTGGATGGCGCACCGCTTCACCTTGCTCTCCCCCTACCCTCTGCACATATGTGTGTGACCCCCTCCCACCCCCGCACATGTGGGCGAGACCCCCTGTGCGTGCGCATGCATCTCCCGCATGTGCCCCGCCCCCGCGTTAGAGACCCAAAAATCAGCTGGCTGGCGGGAGGCACGTGCGCATGCGTAGTGGAGCTGAGCTGGGTGAAGGCTCGCGTGCCCGCAGAGAGGGCTCCCTGTGGCACCTGTGCCAGAGGTTCGCCATCACGGACCTATAATGTGTGAAACTAGGACAAAAGCTAAATTTTATTTCAGTCCATTAACATTTAAAGGTAACTACAATTAAATTTAATTAATATTGTTCTTCTCAAGCTCTGACTTTAATAATCTCCCCTTCTGTCACATTAAGAATAACCATCTTAATTTTAGATTGTTTTTTTAGATCATAGGTGTTTCTGCTTACGCAGCTCTGGATTAGTTTGCTTCTGAAACAGAATAAAATACAGGCATTAACACTCTTGGCAGTTGAATTTTCGAAATTCAAATTCTTGAACAGCTTGATGTTACGGAAAACAAGGATGCCATCTAAAATACAAATATTTCAGGGTGAGGTGAGAATTTCAGTCTCATACAAAAGCTTTTTACTTGGGTTTTTTTTAAACCCAGGAGCTGTATTTTAACGGCATTTCCTGTAGTTAAGCTGATTAGATCATTGTACTGGCATGAAACAAAGATCTGAGTTTTTAAATATCTTTCAGTCTGTCTGCCTGCCTAAAAATATTATACAATTATCAAAATCTTTAAGCCTGATTTCCCGCCCCCCAAAAAAAATTAGAAACAAGAAAACCTCAAACAAACTAAAAATACAAACGAAGAAGAACTAGCAGGGGGGGAAAGGTGGGGGAATCTACATTATATTTTGTAATTTACTAATAGTTTCTGGTTTACTAATAACACATTACTATAATATGTACAAAATATTACCATAAAATCTGCCCAGATCTCTGTCAGAATATGACATACTGCTGCATCCTTTGAAAATATCAGTAGAAAACATTGTCTTTTCCAAAACATAGATCCCAGATTTCTGGCAACCGTTCCCTGACATCTGGAATAGTATTACTTGTCTAATTTTTCAGCGTGATTCTTTTGCAATTCCATATGCTTGATCCGCTCACCATATTATAAAAAAAGATGTTGAGACTCGGGAAAAGGTACAGAGAAGAGCAACAAAGATGATTAAAGGGCTGGAGGCTAAAACATATAAAGAACCGTTGCTGGAGTTGGGTATGTCTCGTTTAATGAAAAGAAGGACTAGGAGAGACATGATAGCAGTCTTCCAATATCTCAGGGGTTGCCACAAAGAAGAGGCAGTCAAGCTATTCTCCAAAGCACCTGAGGGCAGGACAAGAAGCAATGGGTGGAAACTAATCAAGGAGAGAAGCAACCTAGAACTAAGGAGAAACTTCCCAACAGTGAGAACAATTAACCAGTGGAACAATTTGCCTCTAGAAGTTGTGAATGCTCCAACACTGGAAGTTTTTTAGAAAAGACATTAGTCTGAAATAACCAACTCACTAATGTGTCTTCTGCAGGTTGTGGGAACAGTGCCCTGAGTTACGATCTTTTCCAGCTTGGATACACAGACATCACCAACATAGATTATTCCGCGGTGTGCATTTCAAGCATGCAAGACCGTTACGCGCATTGCTCAGGCTTGCATTGGGCGGTAATGGATGCCCGGTTCTTGACTTTCCTGGACGGAAGCTTTGACGTGGTCTTGGAGAAAGGCTTTCTGGATTCCATCATGGTGGAAGAAAAAGACCTCTGGAATGTCTCCCAAGAGGCCAAGATACTTCTGAACCAAGTATTAACTGAGGTTAGTAGAATGGGATGGGATAGGGTAAGGTAGGGTAAGGTAGGGTAGAGTAGAGTAGAGTAGAGTAGAGTAGAGTAGAGTAGAATAGAATAGAATAGAATAGAATAGAATAGAATAGAATAGAATAGAATTGAATTGAATTGAATTGAATTGAATTGAATTGAATTGAATTCTTTATTGGCCAAGTGTGATTGGACACAAGGAATTTGTCTTTGGTGCATATACTCTCAGTGTACATTAAAAGAAAAGATACATTCATTAAGAATCATAAGGTAGAACACTTAATAATAGTCATAGGGTACAAATAAGCAATCGAATCATACTAGGAAACAATATAAATCGTAAGGATACAGCAATAAGTTACAGTCATAAGTGGGAGGAGATGGGTGGTGGGAACGATGAGAAGATTAATAGTAGTGCAGACTTAGTGAAGAGTTTGACAGTGTTGTGGGAATTATTTGTTTAGCAGAGTGATGGCGTTCGGGAAAAAACTGTCCTTGTGTCTAGTTGGTGTGCAGTGCTCTATAGCGTCGCTTTGAGGGTAGGAGTTGAAACCGTTTATGTCCAGGATGTGAGGGGTCTGTAAATATTTTCACTGCCCTCTTTGTGACTCGTGCAGTATACAGGTCCTCCATGGAAGGCAGGTTGGTAGCCATTGTTTTTTCTGCAGTTCTAATTATCCTCTGAAGTCTCTGTCTGTCTCTGCTACCTACATGGTGGTTTTCTTGATCATTTACAGCAGTGTTTTTCAAACTTGCCAACTTTAAGAGGTGCGGACTTCAATTCCCAGAATTCCCCAGCTGGCCTTTCCACTGGAAATTTCCATTGCTAAGCGAGAAAGTTGTTAGGTGAATTTTGCCACCATTTTATGATCTTTCTTACTGCTGCTGTTAAGTGAATCACTGCAGTTGTTAAGTTAGTAACACGGTTGTTAAGTGAACCTGGCTTCCCCATTGACTTGGCTTGTCAGAAAGTTGCCAAAGGGGATCATGTGACACACACACACCCCCCCCGGGGCCCTGCAAACCGTCATAAATATGAACCGAATGCCAAGCATGCAAATTTTGATCACATGACCATGGGAATGCTGCAGTGGTCATAAGTATGAAAAATGGTGTCTTCATGGGGACACAAAAGGAGCCTCCAACTGGGTGTTCCCTGGACAAGATGATGTCACCAATAGATGATTTATGACATGGCCAGAGAGGAGGGGAGAGACAGGGTCATAGGGGAACGTAAATCTACGTAGGATCAGTCCTAACTGCATCCGAGTATTGCCGGAATGTTGCTCCTAATAAATGAATATATTTCCTTTGAAGTTTGGATCATGGTTCATGAATTAAATAGGGCATCTTTCGGAAACTTGACACCTTTCATCCCAGAAGCACTGACATGGAAGTAGTATAAGTCATTTTTTTCAGTGCCGTGGTAACTTCAGATGTTCCAAAACGAATGTCGAGGACTACCTGAATTTGGGATTTAGAAGTATTTAGAATAAAAGAGTTGGAAGGGAACTTGTAGATCATCCCGCCCAAGCAGGAGACCCTACACCATTTCTGACAGATGGCAGTCCAACCTCTTCTTGAAAGCCTCCAGTGATGAAGCTCCCACAACTTCTGTTCCATGGGTTGATTGTTCTTACTGTCAGAAAATTTCTCCTTATTTCTAGCTTGAATCTCTCCTTGATCAGTTTCCATCCGTTATTCCTTGTCTGGCCTTCAGGTGCTTTGGAAAATAATTTGACCCCTTCCTCTCTGTGGCAGCCCCTCAAATATTGGAAGACTGCTATCATGTCTCCCCTGGTCCTTCTCTTCACTAGACCAGCCATGCCCAGCTCCTGCAACCGTTCATTGTATGTTTTAGTTTCCAGTCCCCTAATCATCTTGGTTGCTCTTCTCTGCACTCTTTCTAGAGTCTCAATATCTTTTTTATAGTGTGGTGACCAAAACTGGATGCAGTATTCTAGGTGTGATCTTACTATGGCTTTATAGAGCGGTATTAGTACTTCACATGAATAGGGTAGGGTAGGGTAATATAGGGTAGGGTAGAGGAGTAGAGTAGAGTAGAGTGGAATAGAATAGAATAGAATAGAATAGAATAGAATAGAATAGAATAGAGTTGGAAGGGACCTTGGAGGTCTTCTAGTCTAACCCCGTTTAGGCAGTAGACCCTATACCATTTCAAACAAATGGTTATCCAATCTCTTCTTAAAAACGTCCGGTGTTGGAGCACTCACAACTTCTGGAGGCTGATTAATTGTTCTCACGGTCAGGAAACATCTCCTTAGTTTTAGATCGCTTCTCTCCTGGATTAGTTTCCTTCCATTGCTTCTTATCCTGCCTTCAGTGCTTTGGAGAACAGGTTGACACGCGCGCCCCCCCTTTTTTGTGGCAACCCCTGTTAATGCAATTTAGGATTGCATTGGCTTTTTTGTTTGAGCCCAACAGGGAACATCGAAGCCCCCGCCCAGAGCCCACCTTCTTCCTCTTGGCACAACTTTGGGAAGCAACGACAAGATCCAAGTGATCGGGGCGGCCCTTTTGGTGGAGATCGCCCGTGCCGTTCCTGGCTTGGCATCCTTTTGGCAAGCAGGAAAAGTTTGGCCGATGGATGGATTCCGGTGTCCTTCCAGAAGTTGAGCTAGGAAGGTCTTTTACGAGGGCGCCCGTTGAGCAAGTTTCCAGGCAGAAAGGGGACCGGGGATCAATCATCCCAAGCCGATCAAATTTTATAAAATAAATAAATACATTTTAGAGGCTGGCAAAGGAAGCCCAGCGTGTTTGGTGCACCTGCGGGGCGGCCGTCCTCATTTTGAAGAGATTCCCTCCATTGCCAAAAAAAAACCCGCCCGCTTCCTCTGGTCCTCCCCCCCCTTTGTACCGCCACCAAAACAAAGCACAGCTGCCTGCTGTTGCCACGGTAACGTTTCTCTGTCATAAATAGCAGCTTGCAGATGGCGGGCCTTTCACTCCAATCAGGCCTCTTTAGGTTTCTGATGAAGGGTGCAGCCCCCCGGGGAAGCGCCTGGCAACCCTGACAAGGGATTTAGAGCGGGAAGGAACCAGATATGGATCTGCCAAAAAAAGTGCCCCCCCTTCCCCTCCCCCTCCCCCTCCCCCAAGCCTGGCTTTGCAAGTTTTTTTTTTTTTTGAAGGGGGTGCAATCTCTTTCACGGGGTGGCGGGTGGAGGAGGTGCAATTTATCCTTTTATACAACCCCCCCCCCTCTGCCATTTTCTCTCAGTTGTCCAACTTCCCCACTTTTTTTTCCCCCTTCCCCAGTTTGCATCTCATTAGCTGGAGGTTTCTTCCCTGCCCTCCCCAGGGGGAAAAAAAAATCCGCCAGGCTGGCTCTCCCTGTTTCCATGGCAACCCCCATCCCTGACTGGCGGTATTGACTAGGTGAGGGGGGGGAGGAGGGACAAGGAAGGTTTTCTCAGGGATGCTAATTGAGCTGCGGCAACCATATTGAATTTGCCTGGGGGGGGGAGAGGGAGTCAGGCGTGTGTGTGTTTGTGTTTACACGTGTTTGCCGTCCACGTGCTCCAGGAAGGGAGAAAGATGGGTTTTTATTTTGTTTTAGTCATCATTCCACCCTCCCCTCCCCAGTTTCCTTTTTTTCCCTTGCTGCAAAAGTCTCCAAAGTTTTTGTTTTTTTTTAGCCTGCTCCTTTGGCTCCAAGTGGGAGAAATGTGAAAACTCACATCAAATTTGTCCCCCGTTGGCCTGAGAGAGGTGTCCACTCCGGCCAGTGATTCTGGGCAAGTTTGTCCCAAAAGGTGCTTTTTTTTCAAGAGGCAACTGGACTTTCTGGTTTTTTTTTTTTTTCTTTGAAGATGTTTCGCTTCTCATCCAAGGAGCTTCTTCGTCTCCTTCTTGGATGAGCTGAAGAAGCTTTTTGGATGAGAAGCGAAACGCCTTCAAAGAAAAATCAGTCCAGTTGCCTCTTGAAAAAACTGCACCTTTGGGGCAACCAGGGTGGATTTGATTTAAATCGAGTTGATTTAAATCACAATTTAAATCATGATTTAAATCACTAGTAAAAAGGCTCGATTTAAATCAACTCGATTTAAATCATAATTTTTAAAGAGCAACTGTCATCTCTGCTACTCCTTTGACCCACTGTTGACTCACCGATAGTCCCAGTGTTGCAGAATATACAGCCTCCTGCTACATAACTCAGCTCCGTTTCATGCTGAATAAACTAAATTATTCATGTATCTTAAATAGAAAACTATCTTACGATAGATTTTTACCCCAAAAGTTTTTTATTAAAATAAATTCGATAAAAATAAAAAAAAATCCGATTTAAATAAAAAAAATCTGATTTAAATAAAAAAAATCTGATTTTTTTGATTTTTTAAAAAAAATCATTGATTTTTATCCACCCTGGGGGCAACCACGATCTGGGTGACTGAGAATCTCCATAGACATGGAGGCTTCAGCTGGTGCAAAATGCAGCCGTGCGGGTTGTGATGGGAGAATCCCGATACTCCCATGTAACACCTCTCCTGCGCGACCTGCGTTGGTTACCAGTTGCCCTCCGGGTGAGATTCAAGATGCTGGTGATGACCTATAAAGCCCTACATGGCTTAGGTCCAGAATATTTGGCGGACCACCTGCAGCCAGCAACAACATCCCATTGCCCGGTTCGCGCCCATAGGGAGGGCCTGTTCAGGGTGCCGTTGGCGAGACAATGTCGGCTGGCGGCCCCCAGGGGGAGAGCCTTCTCTGTGGGCGCGCCCACCCTCTGGAATCAACTCCCCTTGGGGCTCCGGTTGGCCCCTGACCTTCGCACCTTTCGCCGCGAATTAAAAACTTGGCTATTTGAGTCCCCAGGCCTGGACTGATGGGGTTTTATATGGGTTTTTTAAGCTTTGTTTGATTTAATTAGGCATTTTAACTTTGTATAATGGATTATTGTGGTTTTATTGTTGTGAGCCGCCCTGAGTCCGTTGGAGATAGGGTGGCGTATAAGCCTAATAAAAATAAATAAATAAA